TTTTTTTTTTTTTTTTTTTTTTTCATTTTATAACTCTCGTACGAGTATTTCTTTTATTGTTTCCTTCTTCCTTCGATACATTGATTGCGATAATTTCCAATAATCGCAAAATGAATTTTATATTTTCTTTTTCTGTTTATTCAATTTTAGCGATCGACGAATCGTTTATTTTTTAAATTCGAATTCCGCGAAATTATTATCGCGAGAAGCCTTTTCAAAATGTTTTCGTTACTCTTTTTTTTTTTTTTTTCGTTTGTATCGTTTCCATGTACATATTCGTATGTATGCATAGCGTGAATCCTCGGTGCAATCTCTCTCTTTCCCTACGCTTCCCATCGAAAGAATTTAGGTAGTAGAAGAAATCAAGAAGCGAAGGAACACGAAAGCGAAAAAAAAAAAAAAAGGGAACGAAGAAACGAAACGATTTTACGAGAAATTTCATTATCGAACGTTTTGCGTTTTCTTTCTTTCCTTTTTTCTTCTTTTCTCCCGCGTTTTCATTAGCGAAGCATCTTTTATGTACATAAGATAGAGATATGTTTTTTTTTTTTTTTAAAAAGTTGCATTTGTTGCGTCGAATGGGAAAGTGCAATGGAGGAACTGTGACGAAGAAGAAAAAGAAGAAAAAAGAGAGAAAAAAAAAAGGAAAAGGAAGAAGAAAAACAGGAAGAAGACGTGGACGAGGAAAAAGAAAAAAAAAAAAAAATAGCAAAAGAGATGCGTTGTGTCGAAGTCACGNAAAAAAAAAAAAAAAATAAGAAAAAGAAGAGGGAATGAAACTGTGTATGTATGTATGTGTGTGTACGTGTGCGCAAAACTAAATGAAACCATTAAAAGAAATATTTTTCTTTCTTTTCTTTTTGCCACTATATTTTTCTCTCTCTCTTTCTCTCTCTTTCTTCCTTTTCCATTATTTTTCCATTATTTTCTTCTGTGTCTCCATTTCCACGTTTATTATTCTTCTCGATAACCCTGACTGAAGCGACCACAATGATGCCTGTACAGCGTAAGAGCGTAAGATTTAAAAAGCTTGTAACACGCGTCGACCGATAAACGTGCCATAACGACATCATGCCAATATTAACGATAATACGATACTTTTTTACAATTACGATCCGTTTCGAACAGCAAAAGAAAAGGCTCTGTCAGTCAGTGTAACGAACGATTATTTGTGCGTTCACCACGGGCCTGCACGCCTCTCTGCTTCTTTTGCCGCGTTTTTTACCTCGGCCACCGGTTTCTTCTCTCCCTTCATTGCCTCGTTCCCTCTCGATCGCGAGACACCATTGCACGCGATCCTCGCATTCTAACGTCACGAATCCCAAAGGTTCTTCGAGATCCAACCGTCTTCCCCTCCTCGATAAACCAATAAACGTTGGTCTAAGTGAGGTCCTAGTAGGGGCTGAGTCCAAGTTTAACAGAAAATGACTGCTGACAGAAAGTGTTCGAGCATCCTTTATAGAGTCCTTTATAGATAAATTTACGTCTTTCGATTTCGATTTCGATGAAATTTTCAGCATAAAATAACAAAGTTTTTATTTTCTTCCGGTTAATTGAATTTTTTTCAAAAATTTTATTTTCACGCGTAATAATAAACTTGTCGAGACAATTCAAGTAGTTCGATTCGATTTTAAAATAGTTATTATATTTTAAAGGATGATGGAATACTTTTTGCCAAGAATTGTACTTGGACGAATCACGAGGAATCTTTTTATACCTTCGATTATACTTATTATTTAACCCTTTGCGGTCGTAATGATTTGTGGCATGGATGATTGGTTATAAAATTGCATTGCGATGAAATCAATTTTTAATTTTTTCAAGATATCTTTATTATAATTTCTTTATAATTTCTTTTTTTCTTTTTGAATTAAATAATTGCACGTAGAATTGGATCAATTATTATATTCGAAAATTTGATCGATTAAATTGTAAATTTTATTTAAATTTATTTTATTTAAATAAGATGCGATTTCTCATTCAAATAATAGAAATTCACATTCATATAAATGATGAATTCAATTGACAGAAGTTCAATCAATCGTGGAC